TGATATTTAGGGTATAAATATAAGATTTAGGGTAATAAAATAAAAGTGAGATAATTATACGATTGGATAAAAATAATGATAATCAGGTGATAAATGATAAAAATTAAGAAAAAGGGAATTTTGCATAATCAAAGAAAGATTATCAAATTAGAGAAACTTATGTTACTACAGTAACAATACTTTTTTTTATATTTTTATTAATATTAAAATCCAAATCTATAAATATATAATAATATTTAAAATTAATTTACTTGATAATTTATTTTTAATACTTACCTAATTCATTATTAATTTCTTTAATACTATTCCAATCTGAATCAGATTTTTTAATTTCAAATTTTATAAATAAAAGTGATTCAAATTCTTCTAATTCACTTTTATTTTCAAAACTTGAAAAAGTTGTAATTGATATAGATTCATCAAATTCAATTAATTCTTACAAGTTTTGATTTGAAAAGTTATCTTTAAATGAATCTAGATTTATATTATTAAATCTAAAATAAAATATTAAATATAAATATAATTTAATAATTTATTTTAAATTATTGTAAATATTATCTTGTTATTTTTTTAAAATTTATTTTAGTTTCATTTTCTAGTGAAATTATATCAAGTCACATATTAATATCCAGGGGAGACCATTCATCATCACACAAATTTCTTGCACCACCAAATAAGGTAATAGATTGATCATCCAATCAAATCATTAATCTGTAATACAAAAAAATAAAGTAAAATAAAGTCACGATGATTTATAAATTACTTCGTTCATGCGGTAAATATAATTATATAATAATTATAAATTCAAGAATGCTCTTTAGAATGTTTAATAAATATTTGAATCAAAATAATCTATATAAACACTATGAATAGAAAGAATTTATACATATCAAATAAATTTACAATTCTAGAAATAATTTTTTCATGTTTTCTAATAAACTCTCCATCATTACTAAATCACCTGTTGCCTCTTCTATATTACTTAAATCATTTTCATCCACATTTTCACTTTTCTTATCTACAAAATCATTTTTACCTAACTTATTCATCAAACCTGATATTAATGAATCAACGTTCTTCTTAACTTCATCCTGAAGGTAATCGAGACATATAGTGCATTTAGATTGAATTCTTTGCAAGCAAGGGCCGTGATAACTGTGACCACATACCAGAACGTTGCCATCAAGTGAATCATCGTCACAATGAATAAAATTGTACAGAGTAGTAATATCAGGCTTTCTAAAAGTAACGAAGCCCCTCGGAAGATGACGGTCAGTTATCTCGTAACCTAAAGAAGGAAGTTTGTATGTGTTAATATCATCAGACAAAGAATTAATTATTAAAGGATATTGGTCACGCGCTTGATATATCTTCATGAATACGTCTAAAAACAATATAGTACACTTCTTGAAAAGCATGTGTAATTGCTTTGGTGTATACAGATATTTCACAGAATTCACAAAATGTTGCCAGAAATCATTATCCTCTTTATGTTGAAAAATGAAATGCGCTTCCTTTCATAACTGTTCAGCAGTGGAAAATTTAGCGGTGCGTCATCGAATAATGCTGTGGATAATTTCTATAGGACAATCACTTATTGAAGCAAGATGATTAGTAAATATGTAAAACATCGGATGGCTAGTCTCCATCCAATAAAAAATATCAGAAAAAAACATTAAAGGAGCACGCTTATAATTCTTCTGATCAAACTGAAGAAAAAGATCGCTCCAGCAACGCATGCAAGCTTCTTCGTAAGCCGGTCAATTTCCTTCTCGATGATGTATTACGTAAATGTCAAGAACTAAAGGAATTAAGTTGCCTAATAGATCTGTTAGATATAAAAATTCTATATTCTTATACGTATGACCAAACTTTGAATAAACAGCATCAATAATATTAACCCATGCCATGCACACGATGTTGAGAATTAAATCAATTCTCCATAGTCGTGGTGTCTTACCAAGATACTTATTTGCCCCAAATATTCTCTTATAAATTTCGTTGAAAAAAAATGAATTTTTTAAGAAAATGAGCTCACGAGCATTTAAAGACACGTGAAGAGGACCCATAATGGGCAAAAATGAAGTGACAGACAAAGGAATAGTTTCATTTTTGAGAAGGAGCTGATGTGCAATGGCTTTACGAACGAAGAACTGACCAGACCAATCCGCAACAAGAGGAATTACATGATTGGAAAGATACGTCTGCATTGGATCTTGATTGTAAACAATTTGAAGAGCTTTTGTGTATGTTTCTACTCCTTTCAAGTCACTTTCAACAAAATCGACAAGAATAGCATTCTGTATATGACGTTCACTCCTTCTTTCTTCTAACCTGTCATTATAACTATGTAGTGTTAGCCTTTCTATGAGTTCATCATTATCTGAGCATTCTTTTTCTATATAATTCAACATATGACTACGATTGTGATAAGAGATACCGAGGTTGGAGATAAATCATCTGTCAAGATACCTTATAATTACTTCATAATTAACAATCTTTGAATTGATTGCTCCGTCATGTGGTATTGCTGGTGTGAAACATGGATTCACTATGATTATTGCCATATGCGCTACCCAAGATGTATTCATAGAATCAGGTTGCCTTTGAATATAAATATTGTGATAATCATCAATATTCAGCACAAAGACACTTTCTGAATATCTTACGAGTGCATTTTCTGCGTATTTTCCATGTGCATCTGACATTCTTTTCTTTTTATGATCTATTGTTCTTGCCATTGTAGTCACATCAAGATTTGTCATCGTATTAAGACCTTCATTACTTGTGCTTACTGAATCTAAATAATATGCGATATCGAACTTAAAGTCATTAATTTTTGTATTATTTAATGATACAAGAAGATAACATATAAAAAGCATTAATTTTTTCATACGATTCATCATTTGCTCATTACGTTTTGATGGTTGAGCTACCAAATAAAGTTGGTCAAAGAAATTTCCCAAGCTTGGCTCAATTCCTTGAAGTAATCTTCGCATTTCATCAAATGTGTATATGGAACTCTCCTTCTTCAGATGTTCTCTTTCATAAAGAATTTTTGCCATCACCTTGATGGTATCCGTAAAATTAATCTTTATACTTACTTCTTCTTCTATAACTTTGCCTATAGCTTCTTCATCTATTTCTTCGTCTACAGATTCTTCATCCATAATTCTTACCTTCTTAAGACCTCTCTTTAGAGAATTTTCTACAAAATTCATATAACAAATATTACAAAAACATCACCTTCCATCCAAGTTTCTTTTATTAAGTCGTTTCTCTCAGCTTCTCTCCATTTCTCTCTCTTTAATGAGCAGAATTTGGTTGATGTAGTGGTTTTGCATTCTGTACATCGCTTATTTTCAGACATATCATCACTGGCAAATCAGAATATGAAAGCTGTGGGATTCAAAGGGATTCACTCGATATTAGTATGAATCAGCATGAAAGCTTCAAGTTTGCTTAGTACGCTTATTCATGTTTCATTAATGGATTGGCTATTATAGTCACACAAAAAAGTATTGTAAACTGTATAAAAAAATCTTTAATTAATTGTGTAACTGATCTTCCATATTTGGAACGGTCTCTCCTGGAATATTAATATCATATTCATTTTGATACTTTTTCAAATATCTTTTATGTGTTTTTGGTAAAACAATACATCCTTAATGATTTTTTTTAATACAATTAATACATTTATAAATTACTTTGTGATTATATGATATTTAAAGTATTATTTGTAAAGAGCAATTTGCAAAATAATAATATAAATACAAGAAAGTATCTGATAAATGTATACTATTCTAAATAGGTTAATTCAAATAATTAATATTAGATTATTTTGAAATTGACCTTTTTAATCTACTTTTTGCTAATAAATAAAAATATAGTAAATCTAATTTTATATATCTTGACCTATTGGTCAAAAATAAATTAAAAAGTTAATTTTGAGATAATTTGTCTTAATCTTTAATTTTTTAGTACTAATTATTTGATTATACAATCTAAATCTCTTAAAATAATATAGTTCTTGTAACTTCATTATTAGTTACAGCTTAGTAATTGTCATTGCTATAGCTAGTGACATAATTTGTATTATCAGATCATATATTATTATGAAATTATTATATTATAAGTAAAATGACTTTATTATATTATATTAAGAGTATTAGATATTTGATTAACTAGTATATATTGAAGTAATTAAAAATATATAATGTTTTATTATGTGAGAATAAATAAATAATTAATATTAATAAATTGATTCTTGCTTGATTTATCTAGAATGATATCATAATTTTTACATAAAAATCTTACTTTTTTTAGAAAAAGGCTAGTATTATAAATCTTTTACTATAATTAGAATTAGCTATCTATTTTTATTAGTACTTTCACCAGGTTAAGTTAAAGTCAAATTCAATCTGAAATATTTCAAATCAGCATAAAAATTATTATTTTTCATTTAATATTAATTGAAATTAAATAAAAATTTGTGAATATATATACAATTATATTCTAAACAACTATACTTAAGACACAAATACAAGTTTCTTAGTAAAAATAATAGTTATTAATGAAAAACTATTTTACGATTTTCAAATTAAATCAATAATACAAAATATTTAATCAAATCAAGCATAATTTAAACATTTATTTTGTTTTGATTTGATACTTTATCTATAAATACTTGTCAAATTTCAGACTTTTATCATACTATACAAAATGTCTTTTAAAAATTATGATATTGAAAATGTTTCTCTTTCTGTTACTAGTCTTTTTTCATTATTTCCTGCTTCTCTAGATCTTAATGACAAAGATCTTTTGCTATGGTTAAAAAACTAATATAATATAGTTTATCAAAGATATCAAACAAAACTTTAATGGTCTACTAAGCATTATTTTAAATATTATAAGTATTTAATATTTGTTTTTTATTATTTAAATAGAAATTTCTTTAAAATTTATGAAAAACTAGTGAATATCATTTAAAATGAAGTATTATCAAAATTTAAGATTATATAGGAAATCAGAATTGTACATAAAATTGTCTTCCTGATATTTTTGATTAGTATATTAAGTTTGATTTAGATATCTGTTTCTCATATTTTTGCTTTTTCCATTTTTTTGTGTCAGATTTGTTTGAACTAAATATTTTTCTTATATTTATATATAATGTATATATAGAATATTTTCAGTTATTTTCAAAATTGATAATATAGTCAGATCTTGTAATTATAATACCTGTTGGTTCCATAGTAAATTTTGAAGTTTTTGTTATAATAATGAGTTTTATATATTTTATATGTTTTATATTACATATGATATTATAAGAATCTCAAAAAAATCTCATAATAATAAGAATTTATTATATATATATATATATATTTGGTCATACATGTAATAATGAATGTCATAATACATATTTGACTGTACATATATTAATATCACTAGCAGTTTGATTTATTATCATGTAGTATATATATATATATACAGTGACAATTAAAAGTAATACAACAAATTATATATACATGTACATGTATTATTCTTTTGACTCATTTTCTTATTATTATCATTATTATTATCATTATTATTTGATTATTAAAATATCAAATTGCATAAAAATCATCAAAAAGCAATTTTTTGATTCTTGTCCAATATTACTACTGTTTAATAAACGAACAAAGATGTTAAAATATTATACAACTCAAATAAAAGAGCAAAAATTATTATTGCACTTAATAAGGGATATACTACGTGAGAGATAGCTAAAGCATGAAATATTAGTACATTGTTATGACTGAAAATTTCTATAATTTTCATAACTTCTATAACTTTCATAATTTTGATAATTATCACAATTACTGTAATTACCATCATTTACAATAATTATCATAATTACTATAACTTATATAATATTTATTATTTATTATTTTTATATAATTAATTATAAATATAACATTTATTAGTGAAAAATATTTATTATAAATAAAGTACAATTGAAGCTTTGAAAAAGATATCAATTGATAAATACAAAAATCTAGCTAGTCAATAAACTGTTTCTTATTTATTGTTAATAAAATTTGTATATTAATTAATTGAATAATAACTTATTAAAATACTTGCATTTATTGTGCACTATTAGACAACTATCAAAGTTCCTATAGAATATCAATACTATATTGCTATAGGACTGTTTCACACTAAGTAAACATAATATCTATTAGTAATAGTGAAAGTCTGTTCAACAGATAGAAAAAATGTACTGCATAATGATCCTGAAGTATATCCATTATAAAGAGATCAAGTAACTGTAAAAATTACTGTCATCAGATATTAATTGAATACCTATGTCATAATAATATCTATCAGGAGCCTGATCATGATAGCGTTATATATAAAAGATTATATGCTTGAAGATGCAAGTAAATTCAGTCATCCACGTATTCTAAATAAGTAACAAAAAAGACAGACAATTCAATTTATTACTTCTCACCCTGTAAAAAAAAATAAAAAACAAAAATCAGGAAAAAATCCAGTTTTTTAGTTCCAGAAAATCACGGATTTTGTTAACAAATTTCCAGATTAAAATCTGATAAAAAACTGCTTAAAAATGAAAAAAATGGATTAATATCTTATCACTCACTTAATCAAATTGAATAAAAATAAAGCCACATATTTACTGAGATTTAGTGGAGTAATGGCTGAATTTTGGTGAAATTTGGTCTGGTAGGTCATGATATATCATGCTTCAAATTAAGTGTTCCAAATTAAAATATGTTTTTTTTTCAAAAAATCAAAAAAATTGATCCAGAAACTTTGGGATGTGATATCTCGTGAACCACAAAACCAATCCGGACGAAAATATCATCATTCGATTCGCCAAGACTAGACGTATCGAATGGTGATATTTTCGTCCGGATTGGTTCCGTGGTTCACGAGATATCGTGTTCCAAAGTTTCCGGATTTTTAATCAGATTTTAATCCAGAAATTTGTTAACAAAACTTGTGATATTCCAGAACTAAAAAACTGGATTTTTTCCTGATTTTTGTCTTTTATTTTTTTTACAGGACTTGGATTAGCTGAAAATTCGTTAAAGACTTTTTACAAATTGTTACACCACTTTTCAAATTACTGCGAAACAACATCACTTTTATCTGAACCATTGAACAAGAAAAAGCATTTAACAAACTCAAAGCAATACTTGTTACAGCACTAATTCTAGTTTATTCAGATTTCACAAAGAAATTTTACCTCTATACCGATGTCTCTGACTCTGGATATAGAGCAATATTATTTCAAAAAGATAATCAAGAATGAGAACAAGTTATTTCTTATATAAGTACTACTTTGAAAATCTCTAAGAAAAATTACAGTATAACTGAGAAAGATGCTGCTGTAGTTATCTGGGCAGTAAAATAATTCTGACATTATCTTCTAGGAACAATATTTAAAATAATTACTGATCATAATGCTTTAAGATAGTTATTTACCAAACAACAAAATTCTGAATCAATAATTGCTCACTGAAAAATCCAAATGATGGAATATATTTTTATTGTTACCTATTGACCTGGAAGAAAAAACCAAAATGCTAATACACTATCTTGTATATACTCTGAACAATAAATCATGAATTTAACAACATACTATAATCTTCTTCGATACTTAGAAAATAAAACTTTTTAACAATCACATTCTGGAACTCCAACAACAATGAATTATTCAAAAAGCAAAACATTTTGTTGTACAAAATGAATTCTTATTCAAAATTAATCAATGAAAAATTATCATACACCCTCTTAGAGTTTTAAAAGAAAATGAAATAGAATCAATTATAAAATATATGCATGAAGATCCACTTTTTGGACACTTTGAATATAATGGAATCTATCAACGAATTGTCATTAAATATTGGTGAAATGGAATGGGAACTGATATAAAAGATTTTGTCAAATCTTGCTCCACTTGTCAATTTACTAGATCCTGAAAATTCAAAGAATCTTTGCATCCAATAAAAGTTAGACAATCTTTTGATCATATTGTAATTAACTTAGTTGGACCAAATCAAATTACTCAACAAAACAATCAGTATATTATCACAGTAATTAATTATCTTACAAAATGATCTAAAGCAAAAGCAATACCAATAAAAGAAGTTACCGAAGTTGC